TCCAGCAAGCAGGAACAACACTTCTGATCTTAAAAAAAAAGACATAAAATAACAGCTGCAAAGGGCAAGTGACATTTGAGCCCCCAGTGCTGGCAGCAGGGAGGGGCAAAGGGCTGCTCCACAGGCAAGGGCTCCTCTGCCTTTGCCTTCCAGCAGCTGGAAGGGCTGGACTTTGGCCTTTGATCCAGGCAGAGCCTGCCGCTCCCAGGGCCAGGAAAGCAACAGAGCAGGAACACCCAGGAAAGTCCCGGTGACAGCTGCCAGCTCCACAGGCACTCCCCAGAGCCGCCTTCGCCCGGCGAACAGCAGCAGATCCCAGGAGCGCTCCAGGCAGGCTGGCACAGGCTGACACCCCCTCCCCACCATCACCCACCCACAGCCACCCCAGCACAAAGGGGGAAAAGCAGCAGCAGCTCCTCCAGGCCACCTGCAGTGGAAAGGAAAAGCTCCATCTCCAGGACCTATTTATTTTGAGGCTGCCAAGGAGGAAGCAATTAGCTTCAGGGGATTAACTGCTGGGAATCCTTCTTGTCCAGAGGGGAAAGTCTCAGTTTCACCAAGTACAAGGAGGGATCTCCAGGCTGGAATGAGAGAGCAGGATCAAAGGAATGCTGCAAAGCAAATCCCAAGCTGCCATGGGGGAGAAGAGGTTTGGGAATCTTGACATTTAATCACGCAGTAACCAAAGGTTTGCAGACATGTCTAATAAGACAATTATAGTGCATGTTAATAATAGATTATTAAAAAGCTTATTTATGGAGGTTTAAACAGGCAGATGGTAGGGCCATGGTGATAAGGCTCTCTCTTTCTAGAGCCTGTGCTACCTCCCAGCTCCCAGAGATGCAGCAGGGATTTGCCTTCCTCTGCCTCCAGCTCCCTGTGCTTAACCCTCACATGATTGCCCAAAGCAAAGCAGCAAACCCCTGCAGAGGGCCTGCAGCCAGGAGAAGATTCTTATGGGGCATTTCAGGGTGCTCAGAGCTCCCAGCCTCTCTGCAGAGCAAGGACTGGGTGATGAAGTGATGGAAAAGTTCATCTCAGGTGCAGTCAAGGGAAAAACCAACATCAACAGGCAGCAAGGAGTTGGTCACAGCCAGGACGGGGTTAAAGCCACCAAGAAACACCTGCCTTGGTTTTCCAGGGGGTGTCCCTCCTCCCCCAGAGCCCTGATTCCAATAGACTTTATTCTGGGAAGGCTCCCAAGGAGGCTGGAATAGGGCTGGTTTGTCTTAGTTTGGATAACAAAGGGTAAAATGTGCATTTCGGGCCAGGAGGTGATTCACCAGCATCCCTGTTCCCGGGGCCAGGGCAGGTCCAGGCACCCAGAGGAAAAACAGGAAACAGGAGCTCTAGAACAAGAGGACAGTAAAAATGAAACAAATGCAACTGCAAGTCTCGATGGGGAAGGAAAAAACCCAGACATTGCCAGGCTGTACCATGGAGCTGCAGATCCAAAGCCAGAGGGACAGGTCCATCCAGGAGCATCAGCATCACTCTGAGCCTCCCTAAATTCTGCTTCTGCCTCATGGACGGTAAAAATCCACCACACTCCAGTGTCCCTCTGCACACACTGGAGAGCCGAGGGCTCAGGAGCCAGAAACCTCTGCCCTGGGCACACTCGGGCATGTCAACAGGATTTTCCGGAGCATCTCGACACAGAAGCCTCAAGGGTGTTTGCACTGTCTGGGTGCTCTGGGAAAGGGCATGGCATTCTCAGGGCATTAAAAACACACGTAGGAGCAAACAAGAGAAAGAGCTTCTTCCCTGGCACGACAGAACAGGCAAGAGGAAAAAAAAACAAAAACAAAAACCCAAACAAAAAAACCCCACGAAGCCTGAAACAAGCTGACAAGGAAAATGTAAGGTTCTCGCACATTTTATGCGCTTGGTGAAGGCGGGCTGGGGAGAACAAAAATGCCTTGGCATCGGAGAGCACACAGCCAGCCAAGGGGAGGGAAACAAACCCCGGGAAAAGCGCTGCGAGAGCAGCATCAGGCACCGGAGCACTGACCCGGTTCCCCAGCAGCAGCAGCCGGGACCACCTCTGCTCCTGACCCCCCTCCCCCGAGCATCCCCCGCTCATCCCCTCCCCCGTGACCGTTAACGGGCGGGGGCTGCCCCGCTGCCGACCCCAATCCCCGCCCCGGCAGCGGCGTCTGCTCGGCGGCTCCCATTGACCCGAGCGAGCCGGCCCCGCCGCGCCGGGTCAGCGTCACCCGTGCCACCCGTGCCACCTCCTGCCGGCCCCGCCGGGTCACCTGTGCCACCCGTGCCACCTCCTGCCGGTGCTGTCGCGGGGGACAGGGACGCTGGAGCCCCGTCCCCCCGCCCGGCCCCAGCCGTCACCGCAGCCGGCAGCCACCTCCCCCAGCAGCCTGAGAGCCTCCGGAGCCGCCACCAACGCCGGTCCAGCGCTCCCTGGCAGTCCTAACCTCCCAAGTGGAAGCTGCAAACCCAAATATTGTATTTGCTTAATTGCTGCAAACGAAGTCGGAGCCGAGCGCAAACAGCTTCCGCATAATTCCGGCAGGAGTGCCACGCAGCAGCGCGGCTGTGTCCCCATCGCGTGTCCCCATCGCGGGTCCCCGCCGCAAAACAGCCCGGGAGCGCGGGCTGGGACCCCTGAGCAGCTCACCGCGGAGTTCTTGGGGTGCAGCACACAGAAGCAGAGGTGCACCTTACCATGGAATCATTTGGGTTGGGAAACATCACTGAGTCCAGCCATGCCCGCAGCACATCCCCAAGTGCCACATCCACCTTTCCTGGCAGGGGAGGCAAGAGGGAGCCTGCACAACCTCCTGCCCCCGGGCGGCTCCTGGCCACGGGCTTCCAGCAGGGAAAGGCTCCTGCCGCAAAGAGCCCGGGGAGGAGCGATGGGGCTGCCAAAGGCTGGTGCCAAGCACAGGTCCCCATCCCAGCCTGCCGACACCACACGATCCCCTGCACCCCTCAGTTTGGGCGGTCAGCCAGTGCCTCCCAACCTCACCCAAGTCCTCTCCGTGACAAGCACAACGGGCCGGCAATGACAGCTCAGTCACCGTGAAACCTTCACGAACTACAAGAAGTTGGAGGGCTACAGGAAGGAGCAAAGAACGCCCTAAGGCCGTGGTGGGCTGTAACCAGGGCATCCTGCTTCCTCCCCGTGCCTCACTTCCCCCACCTGTAGAAGGGACCACCTACGCCCCTTCTTCACAAAGGCACAGCTAAAAAAACCCCATCTTCTGAAAATATCAACCGAGACACGCAGTGTGTCCTCCCCAGAGGCCCAGGGCACGTGCAAATGGCTCCAATATATTTTTCCTAGCCCTTGCCCACTGTGCAGCCCCAGGGATGAGCTGGGCACCCTCCCCACAGCCGGCCAAGCCACATCAGCAGGATCAAACAGCAGATCCAGGTGAAAAGCAGCCTGCAGTGGAGCAGGGGGGCTGGCAGCAGACCCCTCACCTCCAGCTGGATCCAGTCCCTTCAGCTCCACTGCGGAGCTGAGCCTGCTCTGCATCTGCCAGGGAAAGGGAGCAAACGCACTCCTGATTTACTCCAGGAGCAGGCGCGATCCTGCCCTTCGCCGATGCCGTCCTGCAGGGAAGGGACCCCACAGAGGGAAAAGGGTTTGCTTGGGAGGGGACCCTCCCCACAAAGCCGCCCCAGCCCCCGGTGCATCCCCAGCACTGCCCCTCCAGCAGCTCAGCCCCGAGAGCCAGCACAGCACCACGCACCAGGGCTGGGGAGCAGCAAACCCCAAATCCCCCTCTGAAACCAGGGCAGGCAGAGGCCTCTTACTCCACCGGCCCCCACCAGCTCCATGCCTCAGTTTCCCCTTTGCCCCCTGCCCAGCCCCGAAGCTCAGAGCAGAAGCACACAGCCTCTCCCCCCAAAACACAAACCCGTTCCCTCCCCGTCTCCCCCACCCTGCAGGAGCCGGGGGAGCCTGAACGGCTTCGCATCCCCCCACCCATCGTCCCTCCATCCCCCCCCCATGCACGGGTCAGCCGCCGCTTGTTTTCTGCTGATGGGTGTCACTATTTATAATCTTTGGAGAAATGCCACTACCCAAAAAAACAAAATCAATGCACCACCACAGGGACTGTGTGCAGGTGAACAGCTTGGATTTAAAGGTAAAAAACCAAAGAACTAGGCAAAAATACACTTTAATGTGTATTTAATGTGATCAGCATCACCCAGGAGCTGGGAGCAATAGCACCAGGGAACCCTCGGAGTGAGGCACCAACTCCCGTGGCTCCGTTTCCCCAAAAAAGCGCTGGCAGCCCCCGGCAGCACCTCGGGAGCCCCAAATTCCCATTCTCCGCAGCGTCCAACCCCATTTCCAGCTTCCCGAAGGGACTGGGAGCCAGTCGGCATCGTCCCGCACGCCGCACCAGCTCTCCCCGAGCCCCTGCCCGTGGGTCCCGGGGGGCGCAGGGCTCAGCGCCGGGTAGATCGGGGGAGGAGGGGAAAATTAAAAATACGTAAATTAATCAAATTAATCGATCGATCGTATCTCCGTACAACTGCCCCGGTACCCCCCCAGCAAAACGAGAGCCGGGAGGTTGCGATCGGAGCCGCCACCTGTTCCTACCGGAGGGTCCCCAGCTTCCCGCCGGAGCCGCCAGTGAAAGCACCGGGATCCCGCCGGGCACCGGCCGGGGGGGCTCCTCTCGCCGCGCTCCCCCCGCCGCCACCGGGGGAAGTTTTCCCTGCCGGGAGTGCGGCGGGAGGGGGGGGGTCCCGGCCGCCGCACTCCCGGCAGGGACAACTTCCCCCGGTGGCGGCGGGGGGGGGGGGGGGCGCAGGCGAGAGGAGCCCCCATACCGGTGCCCGGAGGGGATTCTGGTGGTTTCACGGAGGACAAGGGTCCCGAGGCGGTTCGGACACCCTCCGCTGGGAACAGGTGGCGGTGGGCCGGGCGGGACCCTCCGCATACCGGGGTCGGTGTTGCCCCAGAACCGCACCGAGCGAGCAGGACCCCTCTCCCCAGCGCACACGCCGCGCTCCGTTCCTACCGGCGGGCGTCTCGGTGTCCAGCGCGTAGACCCGCAGGGCGAGGGCGAGCAGCAGCGCCCGGGCGCTCCGCATGGTGCGGCCGGTGCCGGGACCGAGGGGGGGGCGGCGGGGCCGTGGCCGCCGCCGCCGCTGCGCGCCCGCGGTTCCGGCGCGGCGGGGGCGCAGCGGGGCCCCCGTGCCCGCCCCGCGCCTCAAATACCAGCGGCGGCGGCTCGCGCCCGCCGTGACGTCACCGCCGCCCGCGGGGGGGCGCGGGATGGGGGGGGCCCCGGTACCGGGAACGGCAACGGCGGGCGGGGCGGCGGCGCCCCCTGGCGGACACGAGCGGTGGCGCTGCGGGGGAAGTTTGGGAGCAGCGGCGGGGGCGGTCCCGGGAGCTACGGGGGCACTGGGGGGGCTCTCTGGTACCGGGGGATAGGAGAGCTGGGGAGGGGTCCCGGGAGCTGCGGGCCGCGGGCGGCGCTCGGCTAAGGGAGGAGGTTCTCTCGAACTGGGGGGTGCGGGGAGAGGGGCGGTCCCGGGAGTTAAGGGGGGGGGGCGGTGCGTGGGTAAGGGGCGGGGGGGCCTCCTGTACCCGGGGGGTGGGAGGAGGGGAATATCCGGTACCGGGAGAGAGGGGCAGGAGGTCCCAGGAGAGGCGGGGAATGGGGGTCCCGGGAATTACGGGCTGAGGAAGGTGCACGCTTAAGGGAGGGGAGGGCTCCGGTGCCGGGGGAGAGCGGCTGGGGCTGCCCGGGAGCGCCTCTTGCGTGAGGGGTGGGGCACGGGAGGACCCCGCAAGGGTGCGGAGAAAGCCGGGGGGCCCGGCTGCAGGGAGGTCCTGCAGAGCTGCTGCGGTGTCTCCTGTTGCAGCGGAGCGGGGAAAGAGGGGTTCCCTGCGGGCAGGGGGCTGCCAGGCTCTGGGGGTGGGGGGTCCCTGGTTTTCGGGGTGTGCAGGGATGCAGGGATAGTCCCCAGCTTGGGGGGGGCTGCCTCCAGAAGGATCCCCACGACTCCCCAAATGCAGGGGTTGTCCTCAGGGGTCCCAGTTGTAGGGTCCCCACCGAGCTGGGAATGGATCCTGCAGGGTTTCCAGTTGCAGGACAGGTGCTGGGAGGAGGCTGGGACAAGGGAGGTGATGGTGACACCCACTCTGGCGTGGGTTCCCCCAGCCCTCGAGTGCCCCCATCACCCCTGGGCTGTGCCCGAGGCTGTGGGGCAGAGACAAGACCCTATGGACTGGGCACTGGGGACAGAGCCTCCTGCCCCTTGCAGGGTGTCCTGGGACCCTGAAACCCCCCTGGTCCTCCACCACAGGCTGGATGTCCCTTGGGGGACAGGGACAGGATGCTTGGCTCCACAGGATGGTGACAGGGAAAGCCGGACAAGGCTGTGTGGGAGTGGCAGTGGCACCTGAGCCCCAGACACCCAGCAAAGCCACCATCCCCCCAGTGAGGGGAGGTGCAGGATCTAACTCAGAGTGAGCAGAAAGGAGAAAAACCTGGAAGGACTGAAAAGGAGGAAAATCTCTGTCCAGTTCCCAGTCGAGTGCACAGGATCAGGCACGGAGCACTGGCAGCCCTGGTGTCCCTGCCGGCAGTGCCAGCAGAGATGAAAGGCCCCTTGTTTGTTGACATCCTCTCCAGCCCTATTTCTGGAGGAAAATGTTTTCCCAGAGGTTTGAGGTGAGGAGGAGGGGAACTTTGCATCAGCTTTCTGGTGTGATCCATGCTTAGGTCACCTAGCCCTGGCTGCAGCTCCACGGTGTGAAACTGCCTGGGCACAGGGAAACTTGGAAAGCAGAGGGAACAACGCTGGAAATATTGGGACTTCTTACCCCAAATCACACAGGGAGAATCCCTGGCATTGGCATCACCCTGCGATGATTCAGCCTTGTCCTGAAGGACAGCACCCGGTTGCCAGCATCCAGCAGGGTGACAGAGGCAGGGGGATGGTGTCTGGGGGTTGCTGAGCCCGGCGAGGCCACTGGGGAGCTCCCAGCCCCAGAAGTAGGACAGCACTGCCCGCCAGCTCCATCCGAGTTCAGCTCATCCCTAGGGATGCTGCTGTGCTGCTTCTCCTTTTGGGCTGGCTTCATTACCTGGGGACACTGCACTGACACATGGCGCTGCACAGCCCTGGGGACACTACACAGCCTTGGGGACACTGCACTGACCTGGGCACACTGCAGAGCCCCCGCCTGGCCCCCTCCTCCCTGGGACAGGGGTTCAGCACATCTCAGAGCTGCCAACCCCAAATACTCCTGTCGGTGTCCCCGGTGTCACCCCTGCCTGTGCCAGGCGGGTACAAAACGTTCATCTTCCATTCCCAGCTGCCCCCAGCAGCTCCCCCAGCAGGTGAGCACCACGGTGACACTTCTTGCAGGATCCGTCCGTCCCCATGGATCGGGACAAACCAGACCAGCACCGTGTGTCCCCCAACCAGGACGGCACATCTGGGCTGAGGGCAGAGGGTGATGGACACTGCTCTCCAAGTTGCCTCACGCTGAGCGTGGAGTGATCCTGACAAATCCTCTCCCCAGTGACACTAAAAGCCTGTTAAAATAATGCCCAATAAGGGAATTAAGCTGCTTAGATTTGTGGCAGCGAAGGCAGGAGAGGGCTGGCAGGCTGGCACGGTGCTGAGGGTGGCACTTTGCAGGGTCCCCCTGGAGTTTTTTTGAGAAAAATCCCCCAAATCCTTCTGGGAAGAGGAGCTGGGTGATGCAGCAGCCGAGGGATGAGCTGGGGATGGTCTCTGCCCAGACTGGGGAGGAATCTGGAGGGGTCTTGACCCAGCAGCTGAACTGAAAATGTTCATGGAGGAAATGCAGCCAAGGGTAAGCAGAAGCAGAATATTCCCAGGATTCTGGGGGAATCAACCAGGAAACATGGAGTTTTTAAGCTGCACAAGCCTGTTGGAGCCCTGTGCTGTGCTTTCCACCACCTTTTAAACCCCTGAATTGTACTTCCAAAGCAATCACTTCAAAAAACAATAAAAAGGGGTTTTGTGGCAGCCAGCGTATCCCAACAGAACTGTTCCCATTCCCTGTGGTCACCGTGCTGCTCTGACAGTCCCACAGCCCATCGGTGCCACCTCCTCGGGGGAGCCCTGGGGTCCATCGGTGCCACCCCCGTGCTTCCCCAGTGGGATCATCAATGCACCAGGAGCTGTGGGAACTCAGCACATCACTCCGGATGTCCAGAGTTACCGAGACAACCCTTGGGGGGGCTCAGAAATCCTGGAATGTCGCCAGAAGTGCCTGGTGGTTGGATTTTGACCCTGCACGGGATGTGCCACCTGTATGAGGACAAGAGAATCACTTGGGGATAAATGGTGTAAGAATTAAGTATTTACAGGGTGGAAATACAGATTTTAGGATTTTGGTACAGGGGGGTTATGGAGACAAGACGGAGGGATCAGGGCGTGTCTTGTCCTTCTTCTTTCTTCTTGTCATCCATTTTCTGTGGTGATGTTGGCACTTTGGGATTGGTCCTTGGTGAAGGTGCACTTGCTAATATGGGTGAAAGGTATTGGGAAATAAAGGTAAATATGATGTATGTAGTTTTTAGTATAAAAATAGAGGATTGCCCAGTGGGAGGTCAGAGTGCCCTTGGCTGCCTTGCTGGTCAGACCTCTGTCGGGCTGGAAGAAAATTTTGTAGATGAGAAATAATAAACAATATCAAAGACTGAAAATCTGAAGAGCCCAGACTCGTCCTTTGGAGCGCGGGCTGTCCCAAGGCCATCCTACGCGTGACCGGGCAGAGACGAACAGCCGGAGCGGTCCAGGCGCCACCGCGCACTGCGGGCACGGCACCCATTCACCCATTCTGCGTGAGCGGGACGGGCACGGGGCTCCACAAAGGCTCCTTGTCCCCAACAAGGGCTGGCACTGCCCCGGGGCAGGCGGGCAGCACCTCCCGGGGGCTCCTCCCTGGGGAAGGGGCTTGGGGGAGCCCCCCAAGGTGACGGAGCTGAGGCTGGGGAGGGATGCAGGCAGGAATACGTGGATGGTGTGCATTCATGTTGTGACTGGGTTTGGGGACAAGCAGGAATTGTCCTCAGGGCTCTGCACGAGGACAGTTACTGACAATTGTCCCTCCAGCACATCCAGCTCAATCCCACCGGTCCAACAGGGTTGAAAGGGAGGAAAGCTTGGCCAAGGACCCAGCACTGCTTTCCTGAGCTGGGGGGGACCTGTCTGGCACTGACAGGGCCACAGGGACACAGGATGTGTTTGGAGGGGACACAGCACCCATCATGCGTGGTCTGGGACTAACCCTGCACTGAGGGAAGAAAGGAGGGACAAAGGGAAGCAGTGAGGAAGGAAGGCTGGATGGGCAGATGGCACTGCCCCATGCAGCTGCAGGGATGAAGCCAGTGGCAACCCATCAGGAACAAGCTCCATCCCATTCCTGAGGTGCAAATCCTTTCCCCTAACCCTTCCTAAGCACCTCCTCCCACCCTGAGCACTGGCAGGATGAGCCTGCAGTCCCCTGCCCTGTCTCCCTGTGTCATCAGCCCCCGACGGTCTTGCAGGAGCAATCGAGTTAAAATGAAGTAATCACTTTTCAAGTACAGTCATTTGCAGGAAAAATATAGGCCTTGCTGTGATTGCAAATGGTCTCCACTGCAACCATCCCTCCCACTCAGGAGAGAAATGTTTTCAGCTCCGGGGTGTTCAGTGACAGCAGCCTCAACCGCAGCCAGTGTGGCTACATCACGTCTTATGGCTTCTCCCAGCTTGGGGGTAAAGAGATGGGACCTGGGGCTTTGAATTCTTAGGAGCCAGCAGCACTTTCAGGAGGATTCTTTTGCTCTCAGATATCTCTGTGAAATGGCAGGTTGAGGGAGTAGGGCTGCCCTGAGCCCTTATCCCAGAGCTCAGGGATGGGGCTGCAGCACCCACTGGTCCTCCCCAAACCACTGGGCAAGCATCTCCATACTGACCACACCAAAACCCTTTAAATTTTGACTTATTTCAGAATACCATCTTTTGCTGCCAGCACAGTAATTCCTCATTTTTCCCTATTAAACCCACAGGACACAGAGCCCATCACTCCCTCACCGGCATCACTGCCAGCAGTGCCTTCCCTGCAGCAAAC